AACACGCCGTATTTCATCGACCATCTCGGAGTCCACAATCAACACGGTAAAGTCTCTAGAACCTATAAACTTTTGATTCCCATCAAAAGAATCCGAATCAAAATTTCCAGTTGTTAACAAAACCTCCTGATCATCCAAAATTACAACTTTAAGATGGGTCTGTGCAATCCAATCTGGACGCCCAAAAACTTGAACTCCTTTTTCCTTCAATGTCCTTAGAGAAGAATGGTTTGAAGAGCGAGCATTTTCATGATCATAGGTTTCTGGCTCTAAGATAATTTGAACTTTTACCCCCCGATCATAAGCACGCAAAATAGCGCCTAAAATAGCCAGATCATCAATACGATAGGCCGCTATTTTCAAGCTCTCCTTGGCACTATCAATAGCTTGAATAAAAGTTGCTCTCCCGTCCATTTGGTAAGTATACAAATGTGGAACCTGTTTGTCACTAGCCTGACTCGTACAAACAGCCAAAAACAAGCAAAAGAAAGAATATACAAAAAAGATTACTCTCATTCTGTTTTTCCTAGACGCTTGCTATGATACGTTTACCTATATATTTCTTATAATATGTCTTATCAAAGCTTAAGCTGCTGAATTTATTTAGAATACATCCAATAGGGCTCCTTCTAAAATGCCATGTAAAACAAAGTGTCACTCTCGCATTGCGCGACAAGCGTCTTTATGTCAAGTTGATGAAAATTGCATTTGACTTTGTTATAAGAAATATATGGCTAAACCTCAGATTGTTTCACAAAAACGCCCTGTTCTTTCTCATTTATCGTCTTCATTCAAAGAAACTTTTTTGAAAACGCTTGGAGCTATCTTACTTTTTGCGTTGGGAAGTTCTTTACTAATCGCCCTTTTAACACACAAAATTGAAGACCCATCCTGGAACAGCGTTGTTAGTTCTCAAGCTGATTTTCAAAACTGGCTTGGTGCTCCTGGCGCACTTGTCAGCGATCTTCTGCTACAATTTTTTGGCCCAAGTAGTTTATGCCTTGCCCTCTCTTTTCTGTGTTGGTCTTTCTTACTAGGATCTGAAAAAAAGCTCTCTCACCCAAAAACAAGAATTTTTCTTCTTCTATTATCTCTTGTCTTACTCGATTTAGGAACAGCTGCTTTCCTTTCCAATAACAGTGGAGCAACAGGCCTTTTAATCCTTTCAAAAGTTTCACCCTGGGTCAATCAATGGAATTTTGGTCTAGAAATTTTTGGAATTCTTGTTTTCACCATAGGTGTGCTCATGCAAATCTATGTTTGGGGGTTGAAAAGCAGACATTGGTCTTCTCTGAACCATAAAACATCAAGTACGAAACAAGCCTTTGGCGCTATTTCAAATAAATGGTTTGAAAAACCTTTGAAAGCTGCAAAAAATCAGTTTGAACGTGCTGAGCCTATTATAGATTATCCAAGCCCCTCTACTTCACAAAAGGCTCCTCCTCAAAATAACATAGACGAAGGCGAAAAAGCAGCTCCTTATGACATCGCTGCTCAACCAACTGATACCATACCCCAAGCAACCTCTATGCCTTCCACCAGTAAAACTGTATCAAAGAAAATTTCCATAGAAGTCACAGGTGAATTACCTTCTTTAGATCTTCTAGAAACAGTACGCAATCGTGTTTCAAGAGCATCCACACGAGATGAAACTCTCCAAAAACGTTCTAAAAAACTGCAGCAAACCCTAACAGATTATGGTGTACGTGGAGAAGTTACAAAAGTACGCCCAGGCCCAGTTGTCACTCTTTACGAGCTTCTTCCTGCCGCAGGTGTTAAAGCCTCTAGAGTTGTTGCACTGGCTGACGATATTGCACGCTCAATGAGTTCTATCTCTGCGCGTGTTTCTACAATTCCAGGACATAACGCTATCGGAATTGAACTCCCAAATCCTGATAGAGAAATGGTTGGCCTAAAGGATCTCCTACAAAATAAAGCCTATCAAGAACAGGATGAAAAGTTGCCTCTCATCTTAGGAAAAGATATTGGCGGTCTTCCAGTAATCGCGGATCTTGCCCGCATGCCACACCTTCTTGTTGCAGGAACCACAGGCTCTGGTAAGTCGGTCGCCATCAATACAATGATTTTGTCTTTACTTTATCGCCTCACCCCCAGCCAATGCCGTTTCATTATGATTGACCCTAAAATGCTGGAGCTTTCGGTCTATAATGGCATTCCTCATGTTTTATGCCCCGTTGTGACAGAGCCTAAAAAAGCTGTTGTCGCCTTAAAGTGGGCTGTAAAAGAAATGGAGAATCGTTATCGTGCAATGTCTCATTTAGGGGTTCGCAATATCGATAACTATAACGATCGTCTTAAAGAGGCAAGGGATCGAAATGAACAAATTACACGACGTGTTCAAACAGGATTTGATCCAGATTCTGGAAAGCCGTTATTTGAAGGTCAGCCTTTAGACTTATCTCCACTCCCCTATATTGTTGTGATCGTTGACGAGATGGCAGACCTTATGCTTGTTGCTGGAAAGGATGTAGAAGCCGCGATCCAACGTTTGGCTCAAATGGCACGCGCAGCGGGTATCCACCTGATCATGGCAACGCAACGCCCCTCTGTCGATGTTATTACAGGAACAATTAAAGCAAACTTCCCAACACGCATCAGTTTCCAAGTGACTTCTAAAATTGATAGCCGCACAATTTTAGGAGAACAAGGGGCAGAACAACTCTTAGGACGCGGTGACATGCTATACATGGCTGGAGGAGGTCGTGTTACCCGTGTTCATGGTCCTTTTGTTAAGGATGAAGAAGTTGAAAAAGTTGTCGATTATTTACGTCAAACAGGCACCCCAGACTATAGCGATGATATTACAACAGAAGATGATGACGGAAGTAATGGAGACACTTCCACAAGCGAAGAAGCTGCAGAATGTTCTGACCCTCTTTATAGTAAAGCTGTCGATCTAGTACGCCGAGAACAAAAAGCCTCAACAAGTTTTGTTCAAAGACATCTCCAAATTGGTTATAATCGTGCAGCACGCTTGATCGACCAGATGGAAAATGCTAGAATTATTTCATCTGCAAATCATGTGGGCCGCCGAGAAGTTTTAATGCCCCCTACAGAGGAGTCTGCTTAGTTTTTATGTCTTTTTCTTTTGGTCTCAAAAAAATTTTCTATCGATTTTTGTGTTTTTTCTTTATTGGAGTCACTTTTTCTTTGTGCCTAATTCCTTTTAAAGCACACGCTGATAACAAACCATTACAAAACAAAGAAATTCGCGATAATGTTCGAAAAGCTCTCGCTTACATCAATGACATTAAAACACTTCAAGCAGATTTAACGCAAGTTGATCCAGATGGTACTGTTCAAAAGGGTATTTTAAAAATTTCCAGGCCTGGACGTATGCGTTTAACCTATGCAAAACCTTCAAACACCATTCTTATTTGCGATGGAACATGGATGATTGTGCGTGATTCATTGATAGATGAAACGAGTTATATTTCCCTAAAAGACACACCAGCTTCACTCCTTCTTTCACACCCCTTATCAATTGATGGTAATATTGATATTCAAGATGTTCGTGAAGATGCGGCCCTTTTACATATTCAACTTGTCCCCAATGATGATGAAAAAGTTGTGCGGTTAACACTTGTTTTTACAATGCAACCATTTCAATTAAGGCAGTGGATTGCACAAGACGTTCAAGGTGGAGAAACAATCGTAACACTTGACAACTTGCGAACTAAAGACCTTTCCTTTGACCCAAAAATCTTCCGTTATCATCAGAAATTATCCTAGTATAAGATTTTTTTATAAATCAAAAATTTGACAACCTATATATCTATGTCCATATAAAAATTATATTAAATATTATTTATGTTGTTTTTTAATGAAAAATACAAACAGTCATTTGTTTAAGAGTTTGTTTTTATTTGCCCTGAGCCTTCTCTTTTCTCTTTTTCAAGCAAACGCTTCAACCCCTCAAGAAGAGCTTGCGCAGTTTCTAGAAGAAGATGGCTATCTTGCACAGCAGATACTGCATGGGGAAAACCTCGGCGAATTTCAGGAGCAAAGAGAAATTTTGGTTGAAGCTACAATCAACGCTTAAAGCCTCTCGGGTACACAATACACTGGTCTCAGAATTTTGGCATCGCAGAAAATTTGGATCAAGATAACGGGTGGGCTCTTTATAACCCGAGAAATACAGACGTTGTTCAAAATAACAATTTCTTTCGAGGAACTTACTTTACTATCTCTCAAGAATTCCCAACTCAAACATTTGAAAATCAAGATATTATTTTCGGAACAACTCTCAGCCATGTTCAGGAAGAAAAAACTCTTAAGTTATTTGTAAGGGATCCAAACAAAAATTATAAGGCAAATCCTTTCTTTACGGCACAAAAAGAACCTCAAACCATCACCTGCCAAATAACATCGACTTCCTATGATGAAGGTTTGTGCAAAGTAGATTTTGTTAAAAACTATTACTCTAAAAAAATAGCTTCTTTCAATATATTATCCGCAGCTATACTGGCTCCTATAATTGAAGAAGAAGTATTAGTTATAGCCCACCCTCAGCTGCCCGAATGTACAGAGTATTCTTTGGGAATGCCTAAAGCTTATGAAGAGAGGGAGATAAGGAAAGAGGGATAGAATCTCTACATTGACATGGATGTTTTCACGAAAATTTCGTTTAATAAGATAGCTCAAATTCTTAATCCGTATATGGACAAAGAATACTCTCCAGAATCAATTATTGATCAGTACAAAGCAATATTTTTCCCTGATGAAACCCAAATAGATGAGAACTTAGAACTGAAAGATGCCATCCATCACCCTCCCTATACAGAAGAACAGTACAACTTTGTCATACAGCGCCTTGGTGCCCTTGATGAATCAGGCCAAATAGACACTATTGAAATGATGAATATCCCTGGAGATGAAAGGCCCTTCATTCTAAAGACTCTTTAGGACTTGATGAATTGATCATGGCGTTAGCTTTAAATGATGAAGCTCTAGAAGGGATCATCGCAGAACTTAATGAAGATATATGGAACAATTACTAAGTTTAGAAAAAACATATATTAAAGTTTAAGCGCTGAATTTAAGATCACGTGACATCAAATTAGAACAGGGCTTAAACTTTTTCTTTTTTTAAGATTTCTCCCCCTCAACAACATCCATAATAATTTCAGGAAAATCATGATTTGGGCCACGACATGCCTTCATTTCAGTGATTGTCTTTTGGATATGAGAAGGCAAATTCTGGGAAGGGTTTTCATCCGTTGACCAAGAAGCTTTCCAGGTGCTACGGTCTGGCCACTTTGAACAAACAATCCAAAGACCATCCTCACATTTATACAAACTAGATCCTAGAGCCCCTCGGTATTTTTGAAAATAATCGACGACCTGTCGACGAAGAGCCTTATATTTTTTTCTGTTCCTGGTAGCAAATGAAACCGATATAAAACAGCAATCATTTTACGATAGACAACGCTGAACTAAATTCTCGTTTTTGTATAAGAGTGGGACAAGCGAGAAATCTTTGGCTTTCCTTTGATACGTGTAAATGTATAACAGCCCGTCGTATCTTCAATGTAATAAAGTCCCGCGCCAAATTCTTCTAATCCTTCCCCTTTTCGTTTTTGGATGGATTTGTCTTCAACATACACTGTGTCACTGCCTGAAACGTCAAAAGAAAGGCTGAGCACTTTGATACTTTCAACATTCTTTGAAACAGCTTTTTCAAGATTTGATAAAAACTCTTTCTTAGTGCGTTCAAAAATTGTGCCATTAATCTCCAAAATAATTTCTGCATCTTCTGTAAGAAGGCGCTCTAGAATCTCTGGATTTTGATCAGACATAAAACATTTCATAATTTCCTGTGCTGCCAACAGAAAATCATTCCCACCTTGTGTATCAGAGGTAAAATCTGCGCTTAAAATTTGTGCCATGTCCCGAACTCTTTAAATGAAAAACATTTTTCATCATTAGGCTAGCAACTTTAATCAGAGTTCACAACAAAAGGGCAGAAAAAGCTTCTATAAAGCGCGCAAAAATCATGGAGTTTTCCCCATAAAAGTACACCTTAATTGAGACAGTTTCCACAAAACAAAAAATGGCGCGCCCGGGAAGATTCGAACTCCCAACCTCCTGATCCGTAGTCAGAGAATATATATTTTTCTTTCTCCTTTATTTTTACATAAAATCTGTTTCTCATAGAGCCTTTCAACGACTTCTTGATGTTGCAGAAAGATGATTTTTGTCTCATAGATTGACTCAATGTTGCATTTTTTGGTATTCAATATGAGAGTCATAATAGATAGGATAAAAGGCTATGGCAACACGGTTAAACAAGAAATCCATTGAAGCTTTAAAAGTGAAGGCTAAAAAGTACACGGTTTGGGATTCCGTCATTACTGGATTCGGCTGTATTATTCATCCCACAGGGCGGAAGGTTTATATCTATAAATATCGAAACTTGGATAAAAAGCAAGTCGTAGTTACCTTTGGCAAGCATGGCCTTTTAACGACAGAGATGGCCCGAAACATGGCCCAACAAGTTGTTCTTAAAATGTCTAATGGAATTGACCCGCAACAAGAGAAAAAACAACAGGCTCAAGATCAAAAATCTTCCATTTTATTCAAAGATTTTTGGGCCATTTTTGA